CGTGTAACTTACATCAGGCGCACGACTTGTTCGTCCCGTCACTTGATACTCGTAAAAAAAATTAAATACCAATAGTAATAGTTTTTTATTTTATTTTATTTTTTTTTGGAAACAAACAGTTAACAATTTGCGTACAAGATTATAATACAAAAAAAATTATCACTTAAACCCATTGACTTACAATTATATGGACGTCGGGTCCGCGCTAAAAAAGTGTCCGAACTTATAGGGCGTTAAAATCGTATAAAGAGCGTCATTCACGCTTTAGTCTTCGTTTGTTCGACTGACAGCGAAGCAAACAAAATTAGATAGTACTGCGATGACATTACAATATAAATTCAACGTTTTAGCTTTTTCATATTCCTTGACAAGTCACTACGTTTAAATAGGTTGACTAGGAACATTTTTTTCGTGGTTTTTGTATTAGACCCGTCGTCCATTTATTTGAAAGTCAATGCTTAAACCAGCAAAATTTCCACTAACAAAATTAATTTAAAAAAGAACGAGATACTACTTGGTAAAAATACAAAGTAAGCACAAAGACAATAATAAAAACGAAACATAAGAAGAACAGATAACATAAATCACGCATTACAAGCTCTACACAAGAAATCGTTATTTACATTATTTAGTTTTACAAGCACAAAAGACAATAATCAAACGAGAATTGGATCTAGGACATCTCAAACTAATATTAATAGTATAAGTAATAAATAGCTAAATCAATCTTGTTTCTCAAAATATTGTACAGAAAGATTTGGTCCCTCGCAGCTCGGCGTTTTTCCGGTGTCACTATGTCGTGACTAGAAAACGACCGATGCCTATAGCTTAATAACTTCTTGAATTTGTTCTGAATGCATTCAATGCCAGAAATATAAATATTGTACTGAGGGTTCCAAACAATAGTTGCATTTTCTAGAATAGACCGAACGTGAGAATTATATATATATAATATAAAAGGCATTCGATATATATAATAATTTTATCAATATGGCAATCAAAAAACATACAGTAGCACACCCAGGCCTTTCACCTCTGTCGCTCTATATAGTTATTACTTACCTATATTAATCCTACATAAATACCTACCTTAATCTCTTATCCCCCTAAGTAATATCTATGTAGTAGGTACTTATATTCTAATACATTTTGTTGAGACTTTGTTGGGACCATCTTCAAACTATGGTCCAGTTTTGTATCCTAGTTATTTACAAAACCAAATCAAAAAGGTATTTACTTTATAGTTTGTTCTATATTGTACACTTTCATAACACTATTAACGCATTCGAAGGTCTGCTTTCCTTGTGAAGATCGAACAAAAGTCTTTCCCTTTTTTCTTAGAAAAAAACTAGAATTACTTTAAGTTCACGCTTGCCCTTTGACGTAATAATAATAAAAACGTATACATAGGAATAGTTTTTAACGTTAATTAATTAATTATAAAATTATAATACAACCTGTCTTCTGTCACTGCTTGGTCTAGGCTTCTAAGATTTTGTGCCAGTCCCCGCAGTCGCCCCGCGACGCCTGCTATGTCATCTGCCCATCTCACCATTAAGGTGAATTCACAATGCACAAATTCTGGCAATATATGCGGCATTTTATCGCGTTGCGTGATATGAACTTGAATTGACCAATCAGGTGCTGTGACATTTTAACGCGCGGTGCAATTTAAAAGCTTGTGTCAGATAAGCTTTTTATCGCAAAACGCGGTAATATGAACGATGACGAACTGTCACTGTCATCTGTAAGGTAGAATAGTTGTCTTTTTTTTAATATTCGTTAAAATCTGAAGTGTTTTTTATGGATGGAATTTTAAGTTTAGTTTTAAGTTAAATGGATTTAGCGGATTTGCATTCTAGCCGCTTAGTATTCAAAATAAACAGACGGTGAGTGCTTTGTATTCTAAAAATTAGTATTTTTATAGTTATTTGTCTGTCTGTAAACGATGTTTAAAACTAACGTCTTTCCTCTTTTCAATAAATGCAATGCCAGAAAAATAAATATTATTAACCTATAAATACGCCAACAAAAGTCATAAACACGATCGCACTCCGCAATTCGTTATATTGCCGCAATTCTATTGTGAATCTACCTTTATAATACCTACACTAAATAATACACGCACATGTCAATTTATCTTTAAAAACAATTTACAAATATATTCTATTTAATATGAATTTACAAAGACACTTCAACACAGGATGTGTCGAAATTTTAGTTCCAAATTAATTCTGCTTGAATAGTGATGGAAAATTCGTGAAAAACTTCTCGACGACCCAACTATCTTTGGGCATGGCTATTCTAAGTATAGGTACCTACTTTTTAATGAACTTGTGATTTGGCGGTAGGGGTATTACTAAAATGTTAAGCGTTGTATACATCGTATTTATTAATTGTTGTATTTACGAAGTGATTAAAAGGAAAACTTTAAAAGCTATTTCTAAAGTGGAATTATTTTAACTCAATTGATACCAAATATTTTATTTACATCTTTTAAATACCTTTTTCTGAAAATTTACAATCATTGTAATTTTATATACCTTGATGTTAACCTGTACCTATTTCTACTATTACAATAAACAAAATGGTCAAGCCATCTTGCAGTGATTGTATTTTGTAGTAGAAAGAAATAGATTGCGTAATAATATTTTTTCAATTGTTTGTTTGTATTGCCTAATCAAGTGTAATATTGCTGTTAAGGAGAGGCCACTGCCCGAGCGAAGCAAGTTAGCTCATGTAGCTGCATGCAACAAACTATGCGAGCTAAACTAACTGAACTTAACTTAGCTCACGTAGCTGAATGAAAGCTAAGGTAAGAAAATACGGTGCCGTAATGAAATACTGCCAAGTACGCTAGTCTTTCGTACAAATGAGTAGCTCTGGTGATTCATGCCAGGCATACTGCAGTGTAGTATTTACTCAAATTAGCAATGTTTGACACATGATGAGTGACACATTCGATAAATTCTTCTATAACGATAGAGCTCGTTTAGCTCGGTTCGTGAGCTAAGCTGATATCGCTCAGCTTCGCTCGCGGCGTGGCTTCTCTTTTACATTCTGGTAAATAGAAGGCATGGTCTAATTTTAGTCTTGTAATTTTTTTATAGCTGTTCATTATTAATAAGTGTGAATAAGTTGACGAATCAAAATTGCAAAATTATTAAGGAAAAAACAAATCCGGGTGTCACGCCACGTGGCTGTGTCTACGACACATATTGGCACACTGTGATACAAGAGCAGATGAGTTTGTCGAAGTCTTTAAAAATTGTTGTGTCGAGCTTTGTTTACAGGTATTGTAAATATTAAGAATTTAACTGTAATAGCACGATAAGTAACATTATTCTATTCAAAATTTATCCTTGTTGTATTCTTTCTTTTGTAATTTATTACCTTGATTGTGAATGTCGGTGTACGGTCAAACCAAACCTAGTTTTTAATAAACCTTGAATAAAATTAGTTAAAAAAATTAACTAAGTTGTTAACATTTAGGAGTAGAATATTTTAAAGAGTGCCACGTCCTGTTGTACCCTTTGTTTATATTTGTTAAATTTGTTAGTGCTCAAAATTTACAATAAAATAGTTTTACGGCTGTTGTATTCAGCATTAGGTATTTATCACTATTACGAATAGGCGTATTTAAACGTAAGATATGAATCAATAACTAATTTATAAAATTTTAAGTAATGAATCTGTATCTAACATGAAATAATCAATTGTTCATTTAAGAAATAAGTTGTGTAATCATCGTCGTGTGTTTGGGAAATAAATGTGTGTAGAGGAAAATCGATTTTCTTCCATCCAAGGACTTCAGTAAGCTAAGATTTATAATTTGTGGTCGTAGCCGTAGGTGTCCTATAACCTTAGGTTGCACTGTCTCTTGTTTTAATTATGGGATGCCATATAGAATAGAATGCTTCTATAAAGCGCGCAACTGATTCTGCTCTCGTTATTAAATACTCTGACGCTGTACAGGTTGTCCAAAAATTCAACTTTAAGCGGGAACTGGGCGAAAGGCCAGGTTATATCAGTTTGATAAAAATAACAAATGTCATTTAGTATAATAGTAATGACCTATATAAATTGGGTTTACGTTATATTATGATAACCACAATCAAAGTACTCAATGTGTATCTTCCTTATGGTCCATATATTCAGTGTTTGACTCAAATTTCAAAAGAAATATTTTAAGTTTACACGGGCAAGTACATCCAGTTGAGTTGCCCGCCACACGTATTATTTAATACGCCCCCCAAGCTTACTAGATTACTAGGTCAATACACTCATTGCCTAACTATGTTACAGTTTTCAAGGCAATTTCCAATTGAGGTGTCTATTTAGTACAAAGAAAATCAATTCCAATATAATGACATTTATTTAATGTCACTTAGTAATAATACACGTAACTATTTACAATTATTGCTAATGTTAATTAGGTGTCTATGTTACACTTTCATCAAAAGAAAATTTCATTACTTTTGTGCAGAAAGTAGATTTACATTTTAAATGTTTGGTTGCAAATCAGATGACCTAACGTATTACCTACGCAAGTAGCATAACAGACGAAAGAATTAGACCACGTTCAAACCGAACTTAGCCCGGGTTTCGTCAATTCTGATTAATTAATCATGAAACGTGATAGCTGCCTTTCATAGTAATAGTTATTCAATGATAACAAAAAAACCTCTAAGTAAGTCACAAAAAAATTACAATAAAGAATAATTAAATTGATTCACAAAGAAATAATTAATACGATAATTCAATCTTAATAATAATCCATTAAATAATACAAATAAAATTATTATCAATTACATTAACAATTACGTCAAATTACTAACAATAAATTAATAGCGTCACACAATAGTGTCGAGGGTTGCTCAACAAGCCACGTTTTCAGGAGAAATGTGAACAAATTCCTCGTAGGTGCATTTCGCACGTTATTTGATAACCGGTTGTAAACCGCCGGTGCCATTACATGCACTGTTTGAATGTTTTCGCCAAGGCTTAGCTACCTTGTCGACGGTCTTCTGAATGTTCGGCTGCAATTGGCGTGAGTCTTACGCGTTTAGAGTTCTTATCCTTTCGTCTGTCGTAATTTTAAGCTAGGCGGTAGACCGGCGATGTCTCATCGGCAGAGAGTGTAGGCAGACGCGGCGGCCGACGCGGAGGACGGCGGCGACGACGCGGCTTGCACTCACAGTGCAACGCGCATAGTCCGATCCCAGCACATCCCGACAGGAACAGAGGCAACGCCAAGGTGCGTGTGACTGTGGCCACTTGCTCGCCGCGTGACCACCTTGGTATCACCACGCTCGCGTCCGCTCGGGACCAGTAGCAAGGGTACTTGGCCCCCACGAAGCCATAACTTGTGGTGAAGTTCTCGCAGTCTACAGTAGGTGGGTAACCGCATCCTTTGATGTTCACAAACAACACAGCCGGTCGCCATTCGCTCGTGTACGCCTTGTATTTCACATGCAGTTGCGTACACTTATAAGCGTCGCTGGTGCATCCTTCGCGACACGAAGCCCAGGTGCAGTTGTCCAAACCTAACCTGTCGTCTCGTCGCTCGGTGACGCACTCAGCTGGTATTGGATCGAAGTCTGCAGCCAAAGCACTCAAAGCTGGGTCAGCGTATAGAGGTACGAGGAACAGTAGTGCCGAACCGCCACCGCCCAGTAACGCTGCCAGCAAGATTGTTATGTATCGCGTTAATTTCGCGCGGGTATCACCCCGACGCCGTGAGGGTCGCACGACCAAGCGTTCGCTGCTGCCGCCTCGCATTTTGTAGTAACTGCGGCAGGTCAACCCATGGTTAAAATACTTGATTAATATTGCCCCAATTGCAGTATTTCTCAGAGTTGACGCATGCGCAGAAGGTCGCTTGTAAAGGCATGCGCAGTTTAATTTACTGTATTATAGGACGTCCTCGGGCTTGGATTGTACAAGGCACAAATCAATTAAAGTCCATAGACTGATAAACTTTTGTTATACTGGTACTTATTAATGTAGGTAACTTATTTCTTAGTTTTTCTAAATTTACCAAACAAAGCGAATTCATGCACAACACTTATTATATTCTGTTATTACGTTTATCCTAATTGAATGAAATAAAGTACAAATTATTTTATGGATTTTTTGCAAGACAAAGTTATAATTAAGCACATTTTTTAAAAGTTATACACCTTGAGGTACTTACTCCTGGGCTCTTCATCGCCTTGTATTCTATTTTTCTCTTACTATTTACTAGTTATTATAAATAAATCATTTCGATCCCTCTTGGTCGACGTAGTCGGCTAGATGGCTAAATTATAATAATCTTATCTTATTCATTACATAATGCCGTTCTATTAAGATTACATGTTCAATAATGATACCTGTATTGGATTGACCTGCTTAGATCCTTTTGGCTAACCATGCCGGACTGCCACGCAGAGGTCCCAGGTTCGATTCCCGGGCCGAGAGAAATAGTTGTATGGCCTACAATTATTTCTCTCGTGAGTTTGGGTGTAATTTGTGGTTGTCTAAGTGTGTGTCCATGGCACCCGCGACACAGGGTTTGCCTAGTGCGGGGCTATGTTGAGTGTGTGCGTTATTTATTTATTAATTTAAAATAGTCGGGGATTTCCTAATCTCTAAAAAGTTTGTGACTCCAATTTCTATTTTTTTAATATTTTCTTATCGTTCAATCACAGAAACCGTAAACATAGTGATCGTAGTGTTTCAGATGTCACATCACTATTAAACGCTACAAAAATGGCTGTGCTGATAGAGATTCGCTCTGGACCTTTTGGAGGGAAAAGTGTCGTTTTTATTTTGACTCTCAATTATTTTGTGAAATCTAGTTTAAAGTGGAATAGGATAGTGCTATTGTGCCTTAATCGAAGATTAAGACGCGAAATTATACGAATCTCGAACTAAAATACCCGTATCGGCCCGTTTGAAGGAATCCCGAGTATTTCCAAGCACGCTGCCTCAAATTGCCTATTCTCTTTGTGGCGGCCATAGATTTAGTATATCCACATGTTTACAGAAACATAATCAAACGAAGACATGGCTCAAAGGACTTGTATCCAAGCCAAAATTACTAAAAAAAATAAAATAAAAAATGGCTGTGCTTCTGTCTGACTGACAGCTGCTACAGACAGGTGAAGCATATGATATTTATATTGAGCTTTTGAATAAATAACACTGAAAATACTGTTTAATTTACGTTACGTTAGGTATGTCGGTCAAATTACTCAACTTATTTGTTAATACAATCAGACAGAATCTGCCGAAATACTCTAAATCAGGTATAAACTTAGATATTTAGTAATGCACATGGCTGTTCCATAATTTTACTAGTAATGTATTGTGCTGTTTTTACTGTACTTACGTTTCTGTTTGTAATTTCGGCGTCCATTTCATTCATGAGTAGTTATATAAATAACATGTATAATTGTATTTAAATTGAAGGTGTCATGGTGATTTTGGAGGTTAAGTTTCTTTATAACCACATGATTACGAGAACCTTTCTTCTGGTCAGTATGAAATATCGGAAAAGACTATATTTGCTTAAACCTTAAGGAACTTGCCTAAGTTTGAGCAAGAAATTAACAACAAGAAGTAACGAAGGAAACTCGATTTTTCAATTTAATTTCTTACCTAAGCAAAGTTTGTTTCTTATAAAACTTTTTAACAAAATTTGCTTACTTCGCTATTTTTGTGTCAAAATTCGTTTTATAAGTCTTAGTTTCCGAGTGGATAATAACTATTTGATGTCCTGGAATATTTGTTTTGCCTTTTGTTCTGTATTCTGAATATTTTATATCGTCTCTTAGCAAACAACACCTCAAATAATTTCGAAAACAATTTTAAAGGAGAGTGATGAAACGTAATCATTTCTGTTATTGTATACTAGATTTTTTACAACTTTAAACTGTTGTTTTTAAGTGTGTGTAATATGCGTTCTATTTATGGATAACAATAGTGTATGTGTGTTGGTTACGTTATATTTATTGGTATTCTAGTTTTATCTAGACCTGAGTATTTTAAATAATAAAAACCTCTTATTTTTGACTTTATCGGTGTTGTTTACTAAGTGACGATATGTAACTAACAATTACTTTGCTAGATAGTGTATTTAGGAAACTTTTTCAGTTAAGTAAAAGTTTTGATTTGTTGCCATTTCATTTTTTAATCACTTGGCAATTTTAGAGAAACGTTTTATACAGCTGGTGACCATGACGTTGTCTATAGAATATGTACTTTGACTAGTCTTACTGTAGAATCCTAATTTCCATACTTTTATTGGTTATTTAAAAATTAAAAAATTAAATTAAAAAGTACCCTATATCCGTTAATAGATACCATCTATCTCTATACCACAATTCATCAATATTTGTTTAACAGTTTAGGTGTGAAAATGTAACAGACAAGTGTTACTCTCAAATTTATAGTATTAGTTTGGATGTGTGTTACTTGAAGTTTAGATAAATATAATCTGCCTAAATGGATTTGTAATATTTAATGTACATAAAAAAATTCATGCACTTTTGTGCATCTAAGCATTCCGCCTGTACACAGCTTGGCAATGCCTACCCTGCTACACTTCTCCTGAGAAGTGTGGCTACAGAGCAAGGCTCTTGAGCATTCAAAAGCCCTGATAGCTGCCTACAGTGCCAAACACTGTAAAGAAGCTCTGTCATTGGATAGGAATGCTCACTAGAGTCTTAACGGGATATTATGGCTTGATCAAGTTTGTGTCAAATATTGGGCAGAGAGAGAATAGAGAGTGTAGATTCTTCTACGAGGCAGATGAAATTCTGGTGCATCTTCTCACCCAATGCTGTCTCCTGATGGGTACAAAGCTCCATACTGGGAAGGCACAGGCCTCAATCAGAGGATATGAAAACTGTCAGTGTCAGGAAAGTCCTTCAGTACTGTTGTCAGCCTTGGTTCTGAACTGTAATTACAAGGGATCACAACAGATCAGTTGAAGGTTGCAATGAATGATGCCACCCTAATAATAATAGTAATCAAAGCATCCCAGGACATTGAAATTTGAAAAAGCACATCTTCAACCTCAAACTAAGTGAGAATGGAGACTAGATTTTGTCTTGAAGTATATAAGTTTTTGCTCAATAATCCTGCATAAACATCAGGCCCAGCCAAAGAAAGTTAAGATGATTAACCCATTCATAGACAGTACATATTTGGTACTTGGTGTAATGGTCTGGTGTCCGCAACTCGACGTCAAGGCGCCTATTTTGCGTGTGGCGGGTGCAGGGTCCTACACCCAAGCTCCTCCAAGAATTTCAGCAACGTCTTCGGTTTGCCGAAGACTTCGGGGAGCGACCTCGGCACTCCAAGGTACTTCGCCCTGTAGTTGGCTACGCCGGAGCACTGTAGTAGAATGTGTGCAGCAATTTCCTCCCCTTCCATCCACTCTCTGCATAGGGGGCTGTGTGTTATACCTAAATTGATAAGGTGTTTATTATATGGATCATGACCCGTTAGGGCGGCAGTTAGAGTGCGAAGCTCTTGCTTTTTGAGTTTAATAAATTTAATCTGTAAATAAATTTGAACACATACCCTTAATACACACATACACACATCTACTCAGACCACATGCAATAAACACATACACACACACCCATTTTATATTGCTTTTAATTTATTATTATTTAACTCACAGTGTTCATCTTTTTATTATTATTAAGTCCAGCTGTGGAAGCGAGGGCCTGGTGATTCGTCATACAGGGAATCCTAGTACGAACTCCAGACTCTCACAGTTCTCTCAGGTTGACCTGGACCATTGGTAGGGGAGGGACACTATGGGTTCTGGTCCTATAGCGTCCATCTCCGACCCTTTTCCGGCTAGTTAATCTTCTGCATCATTGCCACGTGAGCCGCCATATTGCTTTGGTATTCTATCCACAGCCGCCTCCAGTAGCAGTTCCTATTTCCTCATTATAGAGGTGTTCAGAGTGGATTCAATATAAATATGATTTATGACCGACAGTTGGTCATATCAACGTTCTTGTATAAAAGAAAGTATGGCTATCGCAGTTGTAGGATGCCTGCCATTGTGTCATATTGAATTAGTACTAAAATCATATGCATTTTAGGGAATAAAAGGGGTGCTGTTCTATCATATTCTGGTATTTAATTTTCTAATTCTAAAATTCTGTTAATCATTGTTGCTATTTTCAGTGGTGAGGATTGTACTGGCCCGTAATGGAGCATTGTAAATGATTACATTGTGATTTTTTATATGCAGTTGCAGGATTTGCTCTCAATCAGTTGAGGTTTTCTACTGCAATGGATGTGGCTGATATTGAGAAGAAAGAGGAGATAATTGGACACAAAAATGCAACTCGGTACAAAAAACGTTTTATGAAGCGACAGTGGGAAGACCTGAAAAAAGTGGATGGGGAATCAGATGAAAAACGAGAGAAAGTGGACAGAATCAAGAGGAAAAAGGTGGCAATGTTACTGGGCTATTGTGGTGTTGATTACAGTGGCATGCAAAGGTAAGAAAATGTCTTTATTATAATTATAATATATAATAATAATGATAGCCTTTATTGCTAATACAATTCAATTAAAATATTACAGTATTATTTTGTTATTAGAAAATACAATTCGTTACTAAAAAATACAAAATATCTTAAACATAGATTGATACAAAAATAATGGACAAATTTCCAATTAAAATTAATACTTAAATAGATTGAATATTAATAATTCTATTAAATTTAATTACATCCACACCAGCTTGTCTTTCGACATAGGCCTCCTCCAGAAACTTCCAGTTTTCCCTGTCCCGTGCCTGTTGTTGCCAAAATGGGCCTGCCACAAATTTTGTAAATGTCTTTATTGACCGATTTTTAAAAAGGCGGAGGTTCTCAATATATGTTCTTAGCGGTCCCATTCAAATTTGAAGAAAATATTCCTCACGTCATTTCGGTCGAAATTCCACAACCTCCACAGCCTGCTTTAAAATAATTATATAAGAAAAAGTACGTTTCAAGAACCATCTAAAATGTTTTTAATAACAACCTACGTGAAAATTAAAATTCTTGCGTGCTAAAATTCTCTATGTAGTAGAGCACGCAACAAACATGAATTTAATTATTAATACAAAGATCGAACACTAATTTGAAAAAACATGAATTTGGTCAAAATTCCTCCACAGCCCGCTTTCGAGCTGCGATTAACTCATTACTACCCTTAATTGACTATGAAGTTACTATATGTTTAGTTGCTTCATCTTCGTAAGACTACGACTACTACTACTTCGTAAGACTACTACTACTACTTCTCGACTAAGAGCGAGCTAATAGTTTTTAAAGCGGGTACCAAACCTGGAATAATGTCCCAGATGTCATACTAGGCACTCCACTTAAACGAGACGTTTAGACAATTACGGCTGTGGTTTCTTTTTTTTATTTTGTTTGTCTAAGTGTTTTGAATACTTTTTTTTGTATCTACGTGTTGTGACATTGCAATAAATGTCTATTGTATTCTAAGTACCTGGGGCACTGGGGCTCCGAATCTTTAAAAGGCGATTTGGAGTTGGAAATGGTGCATTGGGCGCTGGCAGTGAGACGCGACATGTTGGCCCGTAGGTTCGCGAGGTGTAGTGGCGATTTAAAGATGTCATATTCAAGGCATATTGCCAGTCTTTTTATACTTGCAGCCTTTGGGTCAACTACACCTTAAAATCTCTTATAATGGGGAGTGCTCTGAGGAATTTTTCGGACTGGTGCCACCGTCTCGTTTCTACCATCGCACCTCCCGCCAAAGGAGTAGAGTCCATCCCCACATCTTAGATGCCTGGCATTGTAAGACCACACGGGCATCTCATTCATTCCTTCCTCGAACCTGCAAGATGTGGAATGATCTTCCTCCTGAAGTGTTCCCTTTGCGCTATGACATGGGGTTCTTCAAAAAGCGTGTTTACATGACTCTCAAAGGCTGGGAGCGCATAGGCAGATCATCTGATGTTGCAAATATCAATGGGCGACGATGACCACCTCCCATCAGTGGCTCGTCGGCTCGTTTGCTTCCTTTCTTACATAAAAAAAAATCTCTTAAAGCACTTACACACGGCACAGGATGTTGTTGTAGCTGTCACGATTAAGCGCAGCGGTTTACCTGGTGCATAGAGATCGTGGCACCGACAACAGCCTTCGGAATATAATTGCAATCTCTTCAGGAGCATTGGTCCCGGTTGAATATTAGTCTTAGAAAAAAATAATTATTTGTAGTACTAACTATATTTTTAAGTGCTTTGTTACTAACTCCTATGGATGAATACTCCGAAATAAAGATATTTGAATTTGAATAATCTGCTCTTAATTAATTAACCTATTGCAGTCCACTGCTGGACATAAGCCTCCCCAAGTGTACGCCATAGTGCCCGATCACCCGTTTTCCGCATCCAACCACTATCCGCGACCTTCTTCAGATCGTCGATGCATCTTGCAGGGGGACGTCCTACTTTACGTTTGCCGAGACGTGATCTCCACTCGAGAACCCGTCTACTCCTACGCTCATCGGTTCTACGACAGATATGGCCAGCTCAGCTTCACTCAGCACTGCCACTTCATCTTGCTACATTTCTGGACGATGTCCACAACTTTAGTCTTATATAACTTCGTTTCGTACTTTGTCCCTTAACGAAATACCCAGCATAGACCTTTCCATAACTCGCTGAGCGACGGGTAGTCTGTGAGCCAGTTTGACCGTCATATTCCACTGCTCACATGCTTTTTAAATTAACAGCATAATTTTTTTTACCAAATTGTTTCAGAAACCCAGGAGTCAATACTATCGAAGAGGAACTGCTGAAAGCACTCTGGGACGCTAAATACATCACAGAGGAAGATTTCAACAACCAACAAAATGCACATTTTCAACGAAGCTCGCGTACAGATAAAGGTGTCTCCGCTGCCAGACAAGTTGTATCATTAAAATTACGTTAGTACCTCTATTTGTGATTGAAATAGCATTAAAAATCGACAACATCGTCTACCTCATCATCACTTTCCATTAAGTGACAAGGAGGTCAAACGCGCACTTATTTTTGATTAAAAAGAAAGAAAAAATGGCCTACCCTGTGTTGATTTTAAAATTTTTTGTAGGCATTATTTAACGGCTACCATGCTGTCCCGAGTTCGATTCCCGGGCCAGGAAATATATTTGTATGGCCTACATTTATTTCTCTCGAGAGTTTGGGTGTAATTTGTGGTTGTTCATGGCACCCGCGTTACAGGGTTTCCCTAGTGCACGGCTATAAGTGTATGCATTATTACTATTATTTAAATTTTTTTAAATCGTGTATGTATGCAATCTCTTTCAACTGTGATACTTTTAACATCTACTTAACACAAAATGTACTTCTTAATTGTACAATTAATGTTAATTGTACAATTGAATCTTAATTATACAATTAATCTTCATTGTACAGTTCGATAAATTGGAAATATATGAATAATTTTACAGCTCTAGAAACAGACATTGAAGAGATTAACAAAAGACTACCAGAATGCATAAAAGTGTTTGGTATAAAGAGAGTGACAAACAAATTTAACTCCAAAGTGAAATGCAACGCAAGGACATACAGTTACACACTCCCCACGTACGTCTTTGAACCAAAAGCAGTGACTGACGACCAGCGAAAAAGTTACAGGATATCAGCAGATAAATTACAACAAACCAATGACGTGTTAGCCGTTTATAAAGGGACAAAAAGTTACCATAACTTCACGGAGAAAAAGTGAGTACCTAATGATATTATCGCCCGGATTTAAAACCGGCATCGCCCGGGTTTTAAACCGGCGCTTTGTTAATTAAATCGGGTTAAAATCGAGGCCAAAAACCATTTATACTAAATATTTGTTGTAAATCGAGTTTTGTACAAATTTAATTATATTATTTTAAAATGCTTATTGCTTTCTGATCTAGATCATTCCATTTGCCGTTCTATTGAATCGGTTCGCTTGAAAATAGAACCTTAATCGATTTTCTTAAAAATGGAATTGTAAAGTGCTTCCTTAGTACTGGAGTTGCCTCTTTTTTTTTTAATTTTATTTTCACGGTATAACAAACAATTGTACATGGCATGATTACATTAGTTGTGAAATTAAGTGACATAAGTACACGTACTATAAATAACATTATCCACATATTGCAGTTCGTAAAATATATATTTTTTTATATTTAAATTTGTAATAAGTATGGAGTTATTACCAAATTCCGTGTTTTCGGGCGGATATGTGTTAAAACTCGGCGCTTTGGGTAAAAAGCCAGGCGGGCTGATTGGGTTTTAACCCACTGCATCTGTAACTGTTTCACGTGTTTTCAGGCACTTTGTGTTATTTAGTTTATTAATTTTATGCGAATAACTAACTTAACTTACATTACGATAGATAGGGCACGCACCGGCTACCCCATCACTAGCTTTTGTTTCCTCCATCGCACAACAGAAGTGGCTATGAGCATACGCATGACCAGTGTGATGTGTCGTTAACCTAGGACCCTGTTGTGCCTGTGCGCGGTTGGCGCGACGACTCACATCTCGTTAATGTGTACTGGTTGATGTGTGAGCGCTACACTAGTAATATATTTGTTTAAAAAAAAATTACCCTCTATGAAATAAGTTCTATTACAATAGTTCACACTCTATTTGTAATTATAGTACACGTTTTTTTACCGTTCTTATTTAATTATGATGTAATGTGATATATTTTGTATACTTTACTTAAAAAAAAAATTATTAAAAGAAATTTGAAAGAAAAGAAAGAAATTTTATGCGAAGAAATTAATTTACTTCCATTTTTGTTTCAGACACTACCAAGATCCTTCAGCGTCTAGATATATGATGGATTTCAGCATAGAAAAAGTGTTTGTCGAATCCGATATGGAATTTGCAGTGCTTTTAGTAAAGGTAAAGTGATAAATTTAAATAAATAAATGAATATTTTGTGTTCTCGTAAAACATACATGATTTCATTAAGAAAGATGTCCATAATATTAACATTCGAACTAAGTCCAAATTCATGTTTCAGCATATATTGAGATTATCAGTTCCTTAGTTTAAAACCTACATTAAAATATACTAATTTTGCCAATGTCACGGTTGAAAGAAAAAAAAACGAAACAAAAAAAAATACGATGAGCTCTAATAGAACATTAACCGGTGTTGATGAGTTGGTCCACGGGGGTCCTCAGTTGAGAATCTAAAACAAAAGACTGCACAAACATGTATTTATAAATATATTTTATTTAAGTGGATAAATTTACATACAGTAACAGTATGGCGGGAGAACACTAAAGTTAAGAGGTTATTTATGTTAATGGGGCGGGGGAATTTTGAAGGAAGTTATAAAGTGGAACAGCAATATTAGGGCAATTGAAAAAAATGTGTTCCAAGCATTGACTTACAAATAAATGGACGACGGGTCTAATACAAAACCCACGAAAAAAATGTCCCAAGTCAACCTATTCGAAATTTAAATTGTAATGTCATCGCAGTATCGCGCTGTCAGTCGAACAAATGAAGACTAAAGCGGAGTTTGGCGCTCTGTATACGATTTTAGCGCCTTACAAGTGCGGACACTTTTTAGCGCCGACCCGACGTCCATATAATTGTAAGTCAATGGTTCCAAGGTACCGTCTTCTAGAGTGATCTCGGACTCTGATTTTACGCAAAAAGACAGGGGTGCAAACATGGCCTAAGCGCAAACGTATAATAGTGGAAGTGATGTTTTTAGGCAAATCGCGACGTTTAAAAAACCAGGGTTTAGTGGGTAGATTTGGTTGGAGGTTACCATAGTGTCTACCAACGGGTTTCTCATAATGATGGAGCCATAAAAATTAAAAGTGAAGTGAAGTGAAATATACTAATTGAAAAGTCGTATTACAATATTTGTTTTACATAAAGATGCAAAGACGATATGAGTCTAGATTCCACACAAATTTAATCCAAAATGTTGTTCCATAGGATTTAAGATTTGAAAAGAGCAATCCTTAGGGTTTCTTGGTCGTTCTTCTCAGGAAAGTCAGCACAGTAAACGAGAAGTAGCTTAAAAATAACTTTTTTAAATATAATGAAGGAATAAATATTAATGACTGAAATATTAGACAACATTATATATATTGCTCTGATCCCTAAGTAAGTATCTAAAGCACTTCATCATCATCATGTCAGCCGAAAGACGTCCACTGCTGAACATAGGCCTCCCCCAAAGATTTCCAGACCAGCCGATCGGACGCGACGTGCATCCATCCTCCGCCAGGTCATCCGTCCATCTAGTAGGGGGCATTCCACTGAACGCCTTCCGGTTCCACTAAAGCACTTGTGATAAGGAAAGCGGAAACGTCGCGGAAGTCGTCTCTTTCTGAGTCTTCGAACTCTTCGATATCTTAACCTAATTGTTAGATTGGATATCGTTCTCGAATCGAAGGGCGCTTTCCGAGCTATTCAGAACATTCCGAGTTAAGCATACGATTCGGATACGATATCGTTATCCAACAACGTTTACGGAGTTAGTGGGCGCATATAGATTATAAGAAAAATTAAATCTTTTTATATACAAATTTAAGGCTTTAAAGGCCTAAAATATAGGAATGCCATTGTCTCGCATTAAGATAAATTAATAAAATTTCAAGATCCAGATTTTATTTAAAATAATAACAGATTTTCATATTACATTCTTGCCTTGTAAACAATAGAACGTTCGGTAACTTTAATTCGTATAACTGTGGTCTGGATGAGGGCGCGTTCACACTATGTCGTCACGTTTTATTATCGTTGGGCGACTGTCGTGTCTAGCCTGTTCCCATATCACGACTATCTGTCGTGGATGATTTTTTATCTATATAAACGACTGTCGTGACTAGCTGTTCCCACTAGATCGTGACGACAATTTATCGTTTCACGGCAGCCTCCTTGTCGTTTGAACGACAGAATCGTTTGATGCACTGCAGTCGCTTGTATGTTCTTTTGGAAGCCGGTAGTGTGTGTTCGCTCGAAAGGGATGACGACGTAATTTTAATAATGATTACTTTTAAAAACGCGGAAGAGGAAGCAAACAAAGAAAAGAAAATATAACGTGACGTATAAAATAAAACGTGACGACAATAGGAGCTGCGACAATCTGTCGTCGACGTTTTTTTATCGTCTGACGACTGTCGTTCTAGCTGTTCCCACTGTGACGACAGTTTGTCGTTGTAACGATAAAAAATCGTGTACGACAGTTAATCGTGTCGTGCTATATGTGAACAACTTCATTTAAATATACAAGCACGACACTGTAAACTGCACGACAATCTGTCGTCACGACATAGTGGGAACGCGCCCTAACGTTTGTTGCCTTTGCCGGTCGAGAAGTATGAGTAATTGTATATACGGGTGTGACGTCATTTCGGTTCGGTTTCGAGTACGACAGTTTGACGTTCGATTAGGTTATTGAGAATAAAAAACGAAAAGAAATCGTACCATATCTAATCGAATCGGTCGACAGAGTTATCGCAAGGTTCTGTATCGACCTCCTGAACTTTTTTTCGTATAAAAATAAAAATAAAAATAATAAATTGGACTTTATTCAACACACAATAAATGTAGTACAGGACAAAATACAAACATGCTTGCTTATGAGCTAATAACAACTGCATAATTGTGGATGAAAAGGACAGAGTCTCAGCAAACTGCTGTTTTTCAGCCTCCGCCTACGTTCACTGTCGGACACTGTCGGAACAGGAATCCGTTCCTTATATCAACTAATATTTTTACTTAACTAAAACTAATCAAAACTATTTACTGGTTACGAGTGAAACATAAATAAATAAATAAATAAAATGAAATAACATTGCAAAAATTAGGACGACCAACAAAATTATGACGACAACAGTCACAGACCACGAAAACCCCCATCCGATTACCACATATCAGCGTTCCACCACAGACCAGCAACAGGATGACTTTTGTTGCCGTAGAAGCCATTCTTTGCATTTGCGTTTGAAAGTGTGTAATGATTTTTCCGTTTTCACTGGTGGTGGAAGATCATTCCAATGGTGGTTTTTGTATTAGACCCGTCGTCCATTTATTTGTAAGTCAATGCTAAAGGCATTTAAAGTATGTCCAATGTTTGGTACGTTGGGCCGAAAAGTGTCTTATAAACTTAAATTAATTTGGTAATTAAACCATTTTTTGGATTTAAATCGCCTATATTCGTTTTTTTTTCTAACAAACCGTTCTATGGTCTTTAGTAAAATAAAAATAAGGTACTTAAATTATACACTTTTGTGACTGTAGTGAAAAATAAATAGCTTGCATTAATATTGATCATAATTGGTTGATCATTTTTACCATCATCTTTAAAGTTTTTATGTATACTAAATTACATAGGGTGGTGGCAGTGGTTAAGTAAAAACGAGAAAATATATAGATAATAGTTATATTAAACTTCTACAATAGATTTCTTAACTAAAGGCCATTGACTTACAATTATATGGACGTCGGGTTCGCGCTAAAAAGTGTCCGAACTTATAGGGCGTTAAAATCGTATACAGAGCGTCATTCACGCTTTAGTCTTCGTTTGTTCGACTGACAGCGAAGCAAGCAAAATTAGACAGAACTGCGATGACATTACAATTTAAATTCAACGTTTTAGCTTTTTCATATTCCTTTACATGTCATTACGTTTAAATAGGCTGACTTGGGACATTTTTTTCGTGGTTTTTGTATTAGACCCGTCGTCCATTTATTTGTAAGTCAATGCTAAAGGCATTTAAACTATGTCCAATGTTTGGTACGTTGGGCCGAAAAGTGTCCTATAATTAACACTTGAAATAACAATTTTGTCAGCGGTCACGTTGTAATGCACGGGGCGCACGTACTGCTGCTACTTACTACTACGTAGACCTGATATTACAGGTGTTCGCATATCTGCATACATAACAAACTGTTACTAAAAACAATCAATTTAAACAATGTTTGTAAATAAAGATTGATTGACAAGATAACTTTTTTATATAAAAAAATAATAAACAAATGGAATTACTAACTACTAACAATGACCATTGCTTTCAAGAAAATTAGCAGAAATTGATAAAACTATTTTTCCGGATTTAAATCGCGTATATTTGTTTTTTCAAACAAACCGATGTTTCGGGCCCTTGGTCACGGTTGACTGTTAAATCCGGAAAAATAGTTTCATTTCCTATGTGTAACAATCGCGAAAACCTAAGAACTCGATAGGAATTGATAAATTGACGTCTATGGAGAAGGCGACAGAAGTATGTCAACAGCGTATCGAGTTGAGGTCCATAATGTCTGCCTACTTCGGTACGGTTTTAAATACATTTATATATTTCAGGGTCAAAGTTTCATGTTGCATCAAATTAGAAAGATGGTTGGTTTGACCATTGCGATTGTCAGAGGGCACACAGATATGTCAATAATGGAGAAGGCTTTTGGTAAAGACAAAGTGATTATTCCTACTGCACCTGGGCTAGGATTGGTGTTGGATATGGTAATTATCTATGATTCAATATTTGCTTCTGTATGCCTTGCATTTGTTATTGTTTTATGGCATAGAATGACCCGTTGTTTGCAGGAATGAATTTGTATGCGTCTGTTTATGAAAAATATGTGAAAATATAGAGTTGAAATTTTGTTTTGGGTTTACTATTCTGGAAAGACAGGAATTGAAGATGTTAGAAGTTTTGTAGGTTACGTGATAGGTAATTGAACGGTGTATTATGTCATAATAAACTACAGAAGACTTAAACAGAGTTAATAGGAGCTGAATGGTGGATTTGTGACATGACGGAAGTTCAGAGGAAATTATTTTGTGTACTGGTATGGTCAAAAGGCATAAAGTTAATCCATAATTGCCAATGGTTTTTCTGACGATGGCTTGCTAAGGATGCTACTATTCAGTGTGCCGACTCGGTCTGTGCGTAATCAACGACTATTCAGTATACCCATTTCAAAAAACAATGTATCACAAAATAATCCTCTACATAGGATGTGTGGGTATTATAATGAAATATGTACTAATTGTGATATCTTTAACTGCAGTGTCCCAGCATTTAAGAGGTCACTGCTAGCATTAATGTAAAGTGAATAGCATATTCTCATTCTCTCTATTTTTTATTTCTCTCGATTTTTCTTTTTTTTTTATGATTGATTTAGTGTCTGTTTAAGTATATCTAAATGTTTTAAAATGAATGTTGAGCACAGTAATAATTGGGCACAGATATGCCTGTTGTATTAATTTTTAAGTGTTTTTATTTTCCTCACTTTCTGTATCTGATGTCTGTACATTGTGCCATAAATAAAAAAAAAAAAAAAATAATAATAAATAACAAAAAATCTGAATTAATTATCTGCCTCCGTGGTCGAACGGTTACCACTGCCATGCAGAGGTCCCAGGTTCGATTCCCGGGCCGCGAGAAATATTTGTATTTATGCTTACATTTATTTCTCTCGTGAGTTGTGTAATTTGTGGTTGTCTGTGTGTGTGTGTCCATGGCACCCGCGACACAGGGTTTCCCTAGTGCGGAGTTATGTTGAGTGTGTGCGTTATTATTATATTATTAATAACATACCACAGACTATTGCACTGGTAATTCGGATATAAATTATTTTTTTTGTGAAACGTGCCATCTATCCCTGATTTTGGGAACTTTTTGTTCGTTTTAACATTTTCTCGCGTGACATTTTGGAGAAGAAATTATCGGCTTTATTTTTTGTAATGAAGTTGTTAATCTTTTATTAGTTTATTACAAAAGGTCGAATCAGTACATTTCATATTAAGTGAACTAAATGCCATATCCGTACGTAGGTACTGAAGTTCTTTTTTAAGGTGGCAAGATGTCGCTCGACATTAAGAAACTGATAACTATATGATATCAGTCCATACACATACATACTAATTAGTTATTCGAGTTTCTTTTAAATATGATTTTATTTCCTTAACTTAGATAGAGAGGTCGCTATTATAATTTAAAAAACTTAATGAATTTATTTTATTCAAACTTGTAATTAAGACATTTGAAAACGCTAATAAATTCTTTTAACTAAGTTTTTGCCACTGTACTTTATATATTTAATATAATTTTTTTTTAAATAGTTGATTGTATTTAAATGCTATGTCAGTCTATGGTTTCAAGTTAAACAAGCGTGTTTGTAGTAAATAAGTTTTATTTATCGTACATAGATTACGAATTCATAGTGTGAAAGTACGTCAAAAAATAACAATAATAATGTAATTTCAGGTCCACTACGATAGATATGATAATAAATTCAAAGACAGCCACGCCAGCCTTACGTGGGAAGCTGAAGAAGAAGCGGTACAGCAGTTTAGACATGAGCACATTTTCCCCAACATCATAAAGGGTGAAATTGAAGGAAACTCAATGGGTATATGGCTTGAGAAACTAAATTTACACTCCTATGAACCCAGTGATGATGTACCAGGCGAAAAAAACGACGTTGAAAATGAGAAAGAAGCTGACGACGATGACGACGATCCTAATACCAATGACGACGTTGATAACGACGAGGAAGTGAAATCGGAAAGTAAAGATGAGATTGGAGTGTAATTTACGATATGCCTAATAAACTCTCTCAGGATGAACGACATAGTGTATCTGGGTATTGTTTAGGTTAGGTTTTGTCTGCTTGATTTCGGTGGCTATTTTTATTATTTAAATACCTATATATAATGTCGTGAAATATTAAATAATATTTCAAGTTACTACACTCGAATATTAAATAATACTTCATGATAATATTATTGAATATTTAAATAATAAAAATTGTCAAAGTATTAAATAATACAAAGAAGGATGGCACCGTCCCGTGTATTTTGTGACCCAGTGGTTTTGACGACGTGCATTAAATGGACATGTCGATACTTGTAACCATCGAGTATATAACTAGAAATAGAGACGAAATGTCATTTAATTTGTTTGAAAACGATTCTGCCAAATCATTACGATGACAACTGCGTTCCGATTGGCCAGCCCGAATTCGAAACAAATGATCGGTGTCGTCAATTGTTTCACTTCAAATCAACCAGTTTAACTTGAGCTTTGCTATAATGGACGAAAGTTGCAAAATATTTAATTACCGATGAAATGTGATTCCGATTGTTTTGTAATTACATGTTTTACAGTTTTTCCCACACCACCGAATTGAACACAAACAATATGAACTATATTTTTGGAATATACGGAGACGTACACACAGATCAGTTGTTGGCGCTGTACTATTTAAGTTTTTTAATTTGTGATTTCCTCAAACGAAAGTTGATATTTAAAAGTGATGGACGGATGGATGGCCCTTATATACTCGATGCTTGTGACTCATTATCAAAGCATCAAAAAAGTGAGCTGAGCCTGTAGACGCTGGGGTTATAAAGTTGATATAGGTTATGTTTATAATATTGTTCTGTATAGTCGCTTCAGATGTTCCCAAAAATTGTAAAGAATTTGCTGAATATTCCCAAATCTACCAAACCTTGCCACATTTCAAATCGTCACACTGTCTCGTGTCGTTGACATTATTTCGACGCCTCCTACGTAAAGTATCGTATGTCGAAATTGTCAATTTTACAGGAGAGCGTTTTAATGTTCTGAGTTCACTGAAATAAGCACAACTTTAGCATTTCTCAGTTTTATTCGGCAAAGCTCTTCCTTAGATAGAGTATTATAAAATCCTAGATATCGGTTAGATGATTTATTAGATAATGAACTCAAAACTCCAAAACGCTCCCCTGTTAACTTTGCTCGATTTGTCGATAGAATTATATACGTCTGAGGGTATGTGTGATTTTTATAACAATAAAAAAGAAATGGTTTCACATTGAACGTAATTTTGCCAGTAATTCCAGCATTAGTTTCTAGGTTTCCCCAGTTTAATAATATAATTTATCACAAGTACATTATCGCACTTGACAAGTAACGTAGTATTATCTCGAAAATTGCGTATTATTATATTTTATCTCAAAATTGCGATATATTAGTAATTTATCTCCAAAACTTCGATATAATCGTATATCATTCGATTTAATTTCAAAGTGACAGGACAACACCGTCGCTTTGACATTAAATAGGTAATATTAATATAACTTTGAAAAGGTTGTAAACCACTAAGCGCCGTGACCTGGAATCTTCAGGTCCACAGAAATTTATTTTAAAGGTGAAGGTAAAAAACGGATTAACATTAACCGTCCAGACACTTACCCCAAAAGGGCCGAGTTATACGGTGTTACAGATTGGTATTAAATCTGGTAAAAGAATCGTCATTATAGACGCAAATGAAAGAGCAGTACTGTTCGCTGCCGTGATCGAGCAGGGAGTGGCCATGGAAAGAAACAAAGTCAAAATGGCGAGGCAACGGAATTAAAGAACGATTCAAATTTTTAAAAGAAGTGGCCAGGAACCACAGAGATAATACTATGTTAGTTGTCCTGTGCGATATGTGATCATATGACTTGTAAAGTATATAAATTTTATATTTGTAAGTGAAATAAACGTGGCTAAGCCAAAATATATATAGGTGATTTTTAATTATTTACCAGGATATGATTATTTACTAAAGTAAATATCAAATATTGCATTGATTCAAAAATAATGGAGATTTCTTTTTATGAAAGGCTATTTATGACGCAAACGGTAACTATTCAGATTTTTGTTTTTTTTATTGCGTGTTGCTAACTTTTTTTTTAAAGGCTGGAATACAGACGCCTTTAGTTGAAAGGGATATGTGACATTTTTTCAAAAAACTTATCTGTGACTATTTTTATTTTTTCCTAGGTGAATAAGGCATGAAGTTACCGCAAGAGATATGTAGATATTATTTAAATTACATTTTATAAAATATTATTTTATCGGTTTTGAATTTTTACCACAAGCCCTTTCACCAAACAACGGCGGCAGAATACAAAAAAATAATTCCCCAACAAACTCAAGTTTTCTACAGGAACCTGTAATAGTAATGCTCTCATTATTTTTAGATAATACGAATTAGCTTAGTATTTAGTATTGCAATGTAATGATTTTTCTGTATTTCAGTTTGTTTGTTGTGCTTTCAGCAGCTTTGGAGACAGTTCAGTCAACTGAACAAACGAGAAAAACAATGTCATTAGTTCAGTCAACTGAACTAGTGGGAATAGACGCGAGAGGTACACGGTGTCCCTAACAATTTTGGTAAAAAAAATCATAAAATCGCGGAATAATGGCATAAGTGGAATTACGTGAAATATGTTTATTTCTCCATTAGATATAGAAAAATATAACCCATATCCTCTCCAATTGGAGATTAGCTACAGAAAAATATAACCCATGTCCTCTCCAATTGTTTTTCTGTATCAAATGGAGCAATAAACATGTTTGACGTAATTCCACTTATGTCATTCTTCCATGAGGGGTGAGAAATGTTACTAACACCAGTGTTAACAAAACCAACTAAATCTATTTTCTCTATACATTTTACAGAAAATTAACTGAACGTTAAATAGGTTTCTGTTTTATAATAATCTCAGTACAGAGTACTATAAAAACCGACCTCAAAAGTACGTGGAATTACGTCTATAAGTATAAGGCTAAGTTTTATTGAAATATCCCCTAGTTCGCCACTATACAGGACTTGACGCTGGAGAGAATAAAAATCGGTTCTCACTACTCAAAGTATATTGAGAGGAAAAACGCCTTGAATTGGAGAAATAGCAAAATCAACCATTAAAGTAATTGCTCCTAAGTTAATGTTAGGCGCTATTTATGAAAATGAATCTTCATGCGTGAAAAGGTGGATGATTTTCTTCAAAATGAAATGGGACCACTATGGAAGTAACCCCTTTCCAACAAAAAAAGAATCATGAAAATTGGTTCACGAATACCGGAGTTATCGCGTAACATACATACAAAAAAAAAGAAAAAAAGAACATACAGTCGAATTGAGAACCTCGTCTTTTTTAAAGTCGGTTAAAAATAAGCATTAATTTTGACCAAAGATTATGTTTACAAAGCAAAGTAAACATATACGCGTGAACAATAGTAGTTAGTGATTAGGATTACTTTACCTTGAGGTAAAGAGTAGGTGGCAACTGCAATGCAAATTTCATACAATTTATGTGAAAGAAAAAAACACATAATAAAAGTGCGAACAAATGTATATTTATTTATAATAAACGTGATTCAGTATAAAATTCAATAAAACATCCTTCACATTTTTTTATTAACAAAATTTTTCTAGTTTTCTGCCTCCAAACTGGCAATCGCCATTTTCAAGGCACCCTCCCTGGTCTTGTTCCCACCTATGAAACCAGTGGTATGGCAAAAGATGCAATCTTTGATGCCTGCTTCACTGCTCAGGATTTCATCTCTTACACCCCACCATTTCTTATGCAGAGGTGTCCTAAAAATATTTAAATAACTTGTATTCTAAATATAAAATCGAAGACTTAAAAGAAAATACATAATTTCATTAAGAAAGAAGATATCTATAATTTTTATTAACTTGAGAAATAAATCCAAAGCCATGGTACAGTACCACGAATTTGTTTAAGTAACTAAGTTTAACATTCTTTTATGGGGAACTGTATACGTTTTTACAATAAGAGTCCGGAGCATATATTAAGATTATCATGTCCAAAAGTATTTTAATTGTAGTCATATTACAAAATTCAAGAGTATGTATTAAATAAAGATGTATAGAAAGACAACATGAGTAGGTAGATTCCACACAATTATGATTCAAAGTGTATTCCATAGCATTTAAGTTTATTTGAAAAGAGCAATTCCTACAATTTCTTGCTTGTTATTCTCAGGGAGGTTAATGCAGTGAACGAGCAGTAGCTTAAAAGAATAATATATATTAGCTGGTGCCCGTGTCTTCATCTGCGTAGAATAAATAATTCGAGTAACCTACTGTAATATACAAATTTACATAGTTTTATTGGTTCTCTCTAAAGTTTATAACTTTCATCCTATATATAATTATTTTTTAATTATTTTTGTGACAAAAGGTAGCCCTTATCCTAGGTCCCATCTATCTCTATACCAAAATTCATCATAATTAAAGAATAAGTGGAGTTACGTCTAAAATGTTTATTGCTCCATTGGAAACAAAAATATTTCATCCCACATCTTCTCCAATTTTTGTGACTATCGATTAATATTGTCGACAGAGTTACAAGAATTGGGAGCGGATGTCGGTTATATTTTTCAGTATCCAATGGAGCAATAAACATTTTTGATGTAACTCCACTTATACCATTCTTCCATGAGGGTGCGAAATATCACGTTTTTAGTATCAGTATGGTCTACTGTAAAATAGTGATTTTGCAGATAACAGTTAATCTTTGCTGACGTCCAAATGTTATACTGTCTTGTAAAAGTTACAATGCAAATTAACAATACGTACCTGGGAATAAAACTAGTTGGGCTCACAGGTACGGCTTGTATTTTCCAGCAATCAGGCAAATCATTGAACAAGACATATTTAATTACACCCTCGAGCTCCATTTCGTTTTCAAGGTCAAATAAATGTTCTTTCCATGGAAACCGTTCGTTGAACACCACTATCGTTCCTGATTCATGGATTTGGAATCTACTCTCCAAAGATGATTTCACATAGTCCCGTGCTGGTAACCAAACAGAGGAGAAATAGTTTACTTCATCCAGAAACTCTTTACTAACTAAATCCATGGCTTTTACAAATACTTTATCCACATCCACATTTTGTTTAGTGTTCCACTCTGGGTTTAACTTATTCACTCGAGCACTTAGGTGAGTGCGTATTTGATAATTTGGCTCTTTATCTGTCATTGGAACACCATTATCGATGGCATCCATCTCTTCTATAAAATTGTCATAAATTTTTTTATAAATGACCCTAAGGTCCTCTGGTGATAAAGGATTATTTTTAGGAACCAAGTTTTGAATAACTCTTTCGCCATAAAATGCATAAATGAGGCCTGCAGAACTTAATCTGGAAAGAACATCAATTATAAGTCAACATTTAGTTCTACGTGTCAAGCAGGCTTAGTTTGGTAATGACATTAACTATTACCAGAGACCAGAACTAGAAGAGTATTAAGTAATTATCAGTGAGGACACTCTATGGTGTCACAGCCCAATCAAAGGAATTTTTCTTTGGGTTTGTTCAATCTTTGTGTCTATAAGAATACCCATACCAAGTACTTTTACAAGAGAATAGTCATATTTTTATTTTGAATTAAACAACTTCATCTAAATATACTGGCCCTGCTTAGCCGAATTTCGCTATTCTGAGATACATAATTCTAATTAAATGATACGTAGAGATAAAACGATACAGATAATAAAAAAGTAACAAGAATGGTCACTCTCCGCCCCTACCTAGCTTTAGATACTGTAAATTGGCTGTCACATTGCCGGAACGGCTACAGTTGCTATGAACTTAAGAAAAAAGATTAATTAAAAATTTTATCTACGAGAGGAATTTTAGGACATTTTAGTTTTCATGAAAATTGTTGTGATCGCTCTCTAAAAATATTCAATTTCAATTAAAAAACGCAGTGTAATAAATTTTCATTCATAAATTCGAACCAATAGCAGAAATATCCTATGTCGCTCCTTGTAGATATATCTATACACATATGCGGAACACCTTTTTCTGACTGTTGTTTAAAACCCCCCAACAACTACAAGCATAATAGCAAAAGATTTCATTCAAGTAGGTTTTAGAACAAACCATCAAAAACAATGAAAGATCTTTAGGTGCATTGCTTATCAGCATTCAGTAATGATCTACTCTAAGGGTCGTATTCTAGAACTCTACTCAATGCTCAAGTCAGGATTGCACTGGAAACACAAGCACTGGAAATACGACACTAATGGCAAGGACTTGAGTATGATTTTCAGTGTTCACTGCAATTCTCAAGTCCCGGCTTGAGCATTGAGTAGAGTTCTGGAATACGACCCTAAGTGTGTATAATTCTTATACTGATCTCTGGTCATTCAATTCGCACCTAATTTTATACTTATCACCACATTCGGGTCTCAAGGAGCTCAAAGTTTCTGTGAAGCTCCTTTGATGGTGGTCATAACGTTTCCTTTTGTGGTCAAATTCTGCACCCACATCCACAACTATATCACATTGCTCGAGTACGTCCTTGTCTCTAGAGCGAATAATTTCAGCATCTTTGTACTCTGGAAGACATTTAAGCATGTAACATGCCAATACTTCGTCGCAGTGGAAAACGCCGCTATGGGTGCCAATCTGTAAATTTAAAAAAATTATTTCATAACCTTAAATTCAAGATAATCCAGTTGTTTTGTGTGGGTATAGCTGTGTTATTTTACATGAAGATTCCACCAATGTTAGGGTTGGGAGACTTGGTGCTAAGATGGGACAAATTGATGATTCTTGAAAGATATTTGTGTTGATCTTTCTTAGTACTTAGTGGAAAGAAAATACAGTAGATTATATCTAGACAGAATAAAGCAATTACTTGCTGATTATTACTAAGTTTCTTCTTCTTCTTTTAAATGCTATGGCTCCATCGAAATAAATGATGATTTCACCAATGTCAAGTAAAAATAAAAAAAAATGACTATATGCGGTAGTTTTGTAAAAATATTACTATTACTTTATAATGTTACAACCCGTTCGATACATCAGTAAACCCGCCAATGCCAAGTTAACTCCAAGATTGACCAGTAAAACATTATGAGGAAGTTGATATTGACTGGACGGGGAATTTTAGAGGGGAGGATTATACAGAGGAGTGACAATAAGATTACAGTCAAAAAACAGGTGCTCGAGGGTACCCTCTGCCAGACCGCACTCTCACAGGGACTAATCTCGAACATGAATCTGGCCAAGAACGCAGGAGTACATATGTAAGCTAAGCGAAGGCGAATAATTGCAGAGGTGATATTTTTCGAAATCGATTTCCTAGTGAAGAACCATGTTTTAGTGGGAAATTCAGGTTGGATTATTACCATGATGTTTACCTACAATTTGGCGGGAAGATTGCCAACGAGATTTCCAGGAATTTCGCATTTTGTGAAATATTTATAATTTTGGCGCTAAAATTGGGTTATAATACTGTTAGTCTGACTGATCGATAATGTGTACACACTAATGTGAAATTGAGTTTTAATTAGAAAACAGAATGTATCTGGAGAATTATACGTTTCACTTAACGTGGATCTAAGTTAAAAAACGGATTCTAAAGTAAGGGTTTGCAACGTGGCTTAAGAATTCAAATCGCACCTTCATATTGAGTGAATAACTGACAACTCTCCGGCAAATATGAAATAAAGAATGTTTCAATAAACTATTGCTAGCCAAACTATTAACACATAAAAATTTACTAGACATTAGAAATCTACACGCCATGTAACCAATCGAAAACGTGTTGAAACAACACTAAACAAAAAAACGTCAGTTTTTGAGGTTAGACTGACCTGTCAAAATGATTTTTATTTATTTTTTATATAATGAGCCGAGCATGGCCGAGCATTAACTATAGAGCCTCACTTTAAAAAATAAAATAAAATTAAGAAATTGAAAACGTATTAATTAAGATCAGCAGATTAGAGTACTTAATTCTTTAATATTGAAATGACATCTAGCGTCGCCTAGCCTTACTTTCTCAAAATCCTATCTTAAACTTTATTTTTTTCCATCCTCTAAGATCTTAAAGCACAAGTTACTGAAATGTAAAAATTGGATTGTATATACAAATTTTGCAGTGTGATATCATGTCACATTTACTTCATATTCACGCGCTGGCTTTTATCTATACTTAAAGAAATGCATTCAAATTAACACCCTTGATAAGAAATTTGAAATAAATAGAAAGCTTTGCCATCTCCTAAATAGTCACTCTTTAAACGATACGAGTTTGAGAAAGTAAGGGATCGATAAGTGCTTTGTCGGCAGATGTAATACTTTAAAATGAATGATGTTGGGTTTTAACTTATGTGTTTGAGAGCGTATTCCAGAACTCTACTCAATGCTGAATGCTCTACTCAATGACGGGAAACTGACCTTAGCGCCATTTTGTCTTTTGTGTGTGTTCGCGCTTAAAATACCTATTATAATTTGAATCATTGAGGTAGGTCAATCGATCGATAGCTAAGTCAAGAGTATTGAAGTATTTTAGTAAGCCGATAGATGGCGTTATAGGTTTTGAGTCTCATATTGAAAGTTTTAAACTGATTATAGGATTCTTATATTCAAAAACTTATTATATCTAAATCGTTGCTTCAAACACATACAACTCAATATAATATAGCTAATTAATACGGGAATTCTCTAATTTTTATGTTTAATTCCCATGATAATATAAAAACAATAACGATCACCGCACTTTTGTAATCTATAAGACATTGTTGCATTGTGTTTTAATCACGCAGTAATGATCTAAATAGCGAGTAAGTTTTTTTCGAAGTTTTTATATCAGATTTACATACTGTACAATCGATCGATAATATCGAGCTTAGTTACCTAATTAATATTGATTTCATCTTGTCTATAAAGAGAAGTTCTTTAGCTTATATTGAATTATTATAACTCTAACACGTACCAGAATTATAATAATAATGCATTTCTTTCCTTCACTTTACATTTCCTTAAAATATGTATTATGTGAGTACTAGGGAAAAAATAACGTTTTGTTTAATCAGTAATAATAAATACGACCCCGTAGCCAGATTTAGAATTAAAACAAAATGGAGATAAAGATTAGAAGATGGAAAAAAATAAAGGGAGATATTGTATGGCTACGCCTTAGTCTGTCCAGAGGACGAAAAATTTTACTACTACGTACTACTTTATAATCTCAGTACAGAGTACTAAAAAAACGGACCTCAAAAGTACGTGGAATTACGTCTATTTGCTAAGTTTTATTGAAATATCTCCTAGTTCGTCACTATACAGGACTTGACACTGGAGATAATAAAAAATCGGTTCTCACTACTCAAAGTATATTGAGAGAAAAACGCCTTGAATTGGAGAAATAGCAAAATCAACCATTAAAGTAATTGCTCCTAAATTAATGTTAGGCGCTGTTTATGAAAATGAATCTTCATGCGTGAACAGCCACAGTTCGAGGTAGATGATTTTCTTCAAAATGAAATGGGACCACTGTGGAAGTACCCCCTTTCCAACAAAAAAAGAATCATGAAAATTGGTTCACAAATACCGGAGTTATCGCGTAACATACATACAAAAAAAAACAACATACAGTCGAATTAAGAACCTCCTCCTTTTTTGAAGTCGGTTAAAAATAAGTAATTGACTTTTATTCTTCTTCTTTCTTGACTTTTCGCGTTTAGCGTTTCAGCCACAAGGTCAATAACATACGTCATGGGATTGCGAAACTATTCTCAGTGAGATTTACACATTGATTAAACTATAGTAAAATCGCTTTATGTTTATTTTAATTTATCAATGCACTAACAAAATACTTGTAATAATATTTAACATTAAACCGGGCGAAACTATATGAATAAAGTAAGCATTCCCATGACGTCATGACCTAACGAGACATAACTTTGCACACCTTCACTTTTGCTTGACTGTGATTTTGCGACGCTATATATTTTCATTTTGCAGTGTGAGTGGCTCAAACAATAACTAAGTATTTAGTCCACTGGCAAATTGCGATAGGTGCGTGGATAAAAAACATTGACTTACAATTATATGGTCGTCGGGTCCGCGCTAAAAAGTGTCCGAAGTTATAGGGCGTTAAAATCGTATACAGAGCGTCATTCACGCTGTAGTCTTCGTTTGTTCGACTGACAGCGAAGCAAGCAAAATTAGACAGTACTGCGATGACATTACAATTTAAATTCAACGTTTTAGCTTTTTCATATTCCTTTACATGTCACTACGTTTAAATAGGTTGACTTGGGACATTTTTTTCGAGGATTTTGTATTAGACCCGTCGTTCATTTATTTGTAAGTCAATGATAAAAAAGCTATAAACTAACTATCCAAAAGTGGATTTTGAAATCGCACTTTTTTAATTATCTAAAACTTGTGATAAAAAAGAAATAAACAATATGAAGAAACAAAATCACAGTATTAAACTTTTTACTTTATTTTCATTTAAAAATTGAACATAGAGTTTTGCAACAGTAATCTTAAAATAACTAGTTTTGTAATTGTTCAGAATTAGCGTAGCCAGTTTTGCAACAACACTATGATAACATGACTGGTTTTGTTATAATACAACAGTAAAAAAGACAACTTGAACCTAATTTTTAATTTTTCTTTAGACTCTTATATCCACGTCGTCAACCGTCAATGTATCTTCATCATCTGTCATTTCTTCTTCTTCGGTGACATTTGATTGTACTTGCACGATAAAATGAGTATACAATTCAAGAATTTCGTATATAAACCAATCTTCTCCGAAATGTTTAACGATCAAATTTTTAATAAATGAACACGAGGAACCTCTCGGATGACAAAATAGTAAATATCAAATAAAATAACGGACTTTACACGAGTTTATACTCAATAGAGCAGCGTTTGTTTGTAGGTTGACGACAAAATGGCAACTTTTGAAAGTGTAAAACTAAGGGTTGTATTCCAGAACTCTACTCAATGCTCAAGTCAGGATTTGACTATGGTTTCTAGTGCTTTAAAACATATTCAAGTCCTGACTTGAGCATTGAGTACAGTTCTGGAAGACGACCCTAAGAAAGATAGCGACTTTTGCAATAGTAGTCAACATTTATAATAAATGATCTCATTGGTGAACTGTCCAGCCCTTGTCTACTTTATGCTGACGACTTAAAAATATATCGCGTCATAAGTGAACCGTCCGACTGCTGTAAATTGCAGAGTGATATTAACACAGTTTCGGAATGGTGCCAACAAAATTTTATGCTCCTCAATGCTAAGAAGTGCTTTGTTATAACTCTTACTAATAAACGTTATAAACATACTTACGAATATCGACTTAACGAACAGTCATTGGATAGAAAAACAGTAGCTAAGGACCTCGGTGTGTTGTTCGACTCTAAATTAACGTTTCGTGAACACTATGCGTACGTTAAGAGCAGGGCACTTCAATCATTGGGCTTTGTAACAAGGTGTACCAAGGGTTTCAAGCAGCCTCAAAGTTTCCTAACCGTCTATTATAGCCTTGTCCGTAGCATTCTGGAGTACGCTTGTGTTGTCTGGTCGCCCTGCTACTCAGTTCACTCCAATAGTATAGAAAGCGTTCAGAGAAGAGCTCTCAGGATCCTTAGTTATAAGTGCGGTTATGGTCGCAGCCTCGTTGGCTATAGTGATAAATGTGTCAAATTTAAAGTAACCTCCTTGCTTGTTCGCCGTAAGAGACAGGACCTCATATACTTGCATAAGATTGTTCATGGCAAAATTGACTGTTCTTACCTTTTAAATAAAGTAAATATTTGCACAAGGCGTAATCTCCGAATACCTGACAGAACATTTCACTTGCAAACGTACAAGAATAACACTTCCTTTTATAGTCCCCTGATGAGAATGTTTCGGCTTTACAATGAGATATCTATGAAAAACTCGTCTCTGGATGTTTTTGACTCAAGGTCCAGAATATTCAAGTGCGTAGTGAATCGTTTGGCACTATCATAGGTATTTATTCACGTTGCTTTTGTATTCATATTTAGTAAATAAGTATATAAATTAAGTAAGAAATATATCAGTTGATCAGGATCAGTAGATCTTTTTTTTGTTTTGTTATTTTGCAATGATGTGTCGACATAAGTAGGATTGCAATCTGGTACAGAAATTTGTAATATATTTAAGTTTTATCAATGTAATTTGATTGTAATCTGTTTTGTTGTCCATATAATAATAAATAAATAAATAAATTTAACACTGATTTGTTCAGAATATACCAAGTTTTGGCATTGTATTGTTGAGGTATTTGAAATTATTTCAAATGCTGATCCATTTCACGCCATTAACTAAAAATCACTAAATATGTCACGTAGCGCTGTTTGCAAGTGGACTACTCAACTGTGAAGTGCCAAGTAGAAAAAATAAAGAAAAAAGAATGAAAAAGAAAAAGTAAAGAAAAAAAAGAAAAAAAAGAAAAAGTTTTTTAAGAAAAATTTTTTAAGAAAAAATTGGTATTGAGTATTTTTTTACAATTAATTATATAAAGAGTATATTATATATGCTTTCAAAGATCTCTAACGTGTCATTTTGTTAAGCATGTTCAACAATGACTAAATATGCTGAACTTGTTTAAAATACGCGTGCGCATCGGTGTTTATCGGCCTATGACAACTTTCATAAGATA